TATATATAATTGTCATGTATTAAAACAAACAAAAAGGAAATAAAAGAAAAGAATTAATAAAACGATAGAGTGCAATCAATAAAAAAGTAAAAAATAAAACAATAAGCCTCTTAAAGTTGTGCATTAACATAATTTTACCACAGTTTTAGATGTACCGTTAGGCAAAACAACTACGATAAAATCACAGTATCACAGCCTTAACTGCTGCGATTTTTTATCAAACTGTGCCAACGATGATAAAATACAGTCTTTGAAGCAAATGTGCTGTTTTTAACACTAAACTAATTGACATAATGCAAAAGATGATAAAACAGGTGAAAAACATATTTCAATGCGCATCTGTGGGATTTTCCCACCTGTTTTATAGTCAAGCAGCAAGTGAAAATCACTTAGTAAAATACCAGCACAACAATCTCCTCAGCAACACACACGATCTGAGGAATCATGCAGGTCTGAAACACAAGACTGTGTGCTAGAGGTTCCTTCTCAAGGTTTGGTTATGTATAAACAGAGGGACTTGATTTAGCAAACATCACTAACAAATAAATAACACAGTTCATTCATTTAATTGCAGGCTGTCTGGTTGCCAAGTAGCATTGCAATTTGGTGCATTAATGCCGATCTCAGGAGATGTTTTATGATCATCCAATTAGTGCGAATTATCCAAACAAATCATGATCCCAGTGTTTTTTTTTACACTAAACTTGAGTATGTTGAAGGTCTTCAAATGTGCAGCAGGTGGCAGCAAAAGGTAAGTTAATGACAGATAAGTGCATATGAAGTGTGTGTGTGTGTGTGTGTGTGTGTGTGTGTGTGCAGTGGTGTAGTGGTGTCTGGAGAAGTGGGTATACTCTTAATTTATGCCCCAATTTTTTTTTAAAGCGACCCAGCAAAGCTGACCTTCACAGTGTCCGATTGACCCGGCAGTAAAGGCTTCTCCTCCGTGATGGCAATCTCCTGCATTTCAGTCGTCATGGTGATCGGTTACGCTGTCCTGAAACAGAAGAATGCATCGTAAACACTGCGACAAAAAAACAGCCACTTAACAATGAGAACACACACACACACACACACACACACACACACACACACTCACACACACACATACGTGCACACACAAGTATGAACGTAAAACTAATAAAAACTAAAATGACAGCTTCACACAAAGACTAGACTAAAACTAAAATTAAAACAGGCCGCCAAAAACAACACTACACACAAGCACACAAACACATATGCGCACAAACACACACACACACTCACTTACACACACTGACACACACACACATACGTGCACACACACACACATATACACACACACTCACACATACGTGCACACATAAGCAGACAAACACATACGCACACACACACACACACACACACACACAC